CCTCTCTCTCTCTCTCTCTCTCTCTCTCTCTCTCTCTCTCTCTCTCTCTCTCTCTCTCTCTCTCTCTCTCACACACACACACACACACACACACACACACACACACACACACACACACACACACACACACACACACACACACACACACACATATTCCAGCATTGCAATATTGACATCGCAGCCTGTTCATTATAGCCACGGAGCTTCAGAGCTAAGGCGGAGCTACAGATTAGGTGTCCCTAAATAACCCGTGTATCTAACAGTAGTTCCGCATTAATTATTTTGCACGCGAGTTTTATTTATTTTTATACCGTGTATTCTCCGTGTATATTCATGCACCTAACCGTGACGCCCGTACCGTTTCGGTTCAATACGAATACATGTACCGTTCCACCTCTAAGTTATGCCTATAGCCTACTTACCAAGACACCTGACCAACTCTTCACACCAGATATTTATGTTTCTTCGATAGGAATTATTTAAATTTCTGTTTGGCTCCTCATCTGTCTCACGCCTGGGAGGCTGTGGGCCATTGTAGGTTTGAGGGGGATTTTGGATCTCCTTAGGGTGTACTCACACTAGCCAGTTTGAACCGTGCCCGAGTGCGTTTGACCACCAAAGCGCGGTTCGTTTGACTAGTGTGAGTGCTCCGAACCGTGCCCGGGCGCGGCTCGATTAGCCGGCCCTGGCCCGCTTGGAAGAGGTGGGCCAGAGCACGGTTCAGTTGGACTCGGGCGCGGTTCGCATGCAGTGTGAGCGCTAACCGTGCTGGAGCACGGAACAGGACGCGTGGCGTCATGGTTTTGCGACGCTCCAAAACCAACACAGTCCGTAATCAAAGCTGCAAAGTCCTTGCTGCACTTCAGCTGGTACCTTGCAAACCTCCTCATACGAGCAGCACGATTACGTGAAAATTTTCGCGCCACTAAGGTGACGCATCTGTTTAACAACAGGCTGTGGACCACCGTGGACCAAACGACACAAAATTATCCACAAAGAAAACAGAGCGATGGACTTCATTGTGTTCAGAGAGCGCCGCTCTTCTTGTTTATCCCGAAACCGTCGCACGCACCATAATGACATAAGCGTGCTCCGGCACGAATGCTGAAACCCTATGTGAGTGCAGGCCAGAGGGGGAGTGGGGAGGGGGGACAATCGTACTCGGGCCCGGTTCATGGCAACCGTGCCTAGTGTGAGTACACCCTTAGACTCAAAACTCTCCATACTTGAATAGAACTTTTTTGGCACGTCTCCCTCTTCTGACGTCACAGCTCAGCTGTGTTTTAAAAATATGATCTTGACAGAAATGGCTATGAAGCTTACTGTAGGGCAATTACAGTAATCATTTTAATGATAATTACATTTTCACTCAGACATCTAATCTATATCTAAAAAAAAAATTTACCTGACATATTTCATATTTCATAAACACAAACACAAGTTTGCCATATTTTAGTCAGGAATTTGGGGTGTCCTTATGTTGTGTCTTACTTTCTTTGCAGAATGAGTTCATCCCGTGTGAGGTCATCCCGTGTTTTCCAATCCCACAAGGAATTTTCTGATTAGTAGAAGGAAAGCTCAAAGTTCTCAGGTTTCCTGATATCTTAATATATATATGTTGTCTTTTTGAGTCTCTAACACATCTCCTTTTATGGTATGCTCCTAGGATTTAGCACAGTTAAGTATACCTCACAGTGAATCAGAGGCGTGGAGTTAAGCAACTATTTTAGGACTTGTTTTGCCTTTTGGGAAGGTGTAGAAAGACCAAAGTTCAACCCTCAGAGCTAACCTCAGTCTGTTCCAACAGAAATGTATTGATGGTTTTACTGTGGTCCAATGACCAGCCAAGTAGTGAATCAGTGGATCTAGATTTAGCTTCAGTATCAGCAACCTTTCTAACTTGTGGCACATCACAGAAACACAGAACAATTCAGGATGTAATTTAAACCTGAACATGTAATTGTACATTTCTATTAAGCTTTCTTAATGGTTACAGTTGAGTTTCTTGTCCAGTGTGAGATCATGTTAAACAAAACTGCTCAACTAGAAGAGATTTCAGTGTTAAAGTAGTAGTAGAGTAGTTCATCTAAAAAAAATGTATTATCATTATTCACTCACCATCATGTTGTTTAAAACTTGTGAATTTCTTTCTTTCCTGTTTCTTTAAAAGAATATATCCTGGCCATGATTTTTATATTATGATAGTGAATGAGGACTGGGGCTGTCAAGGTCCAAAATAACAAAAACGCATGATCAAAGTAGTCCAATAACTTTCAATGATGAGCAGACTGAAATTTAACTTGTTATTCACTGAAACTTTTGATTTCTATCCTAACTCTCTTTGGAATGTTCTTGAGAGAAGTAGCAACGTCTGATTTGTGAACGGATCAGTATTCCGAGTCAGATCTTTTCAGTGGGCTTATGGATCCAGTTCACAAAAACGTTTTTAATGATTCTTTATGAACTGATCTATAGTTCTCGATTTCAACTCACTGTCTCAATTATCTAATCTCAGTGATTAACAAATCACTAGAGGGGAAAATAATCAGTGTTTCTCACACAAAGCAATCTTAAACTTTCACCTCAACCCACACTTTCAACACAAATGTGACACATACACACACATTACCTTAAGCATCTTTAAAAGCATCCTTAAGTTTGTTGTCATTTGTCTCAAAGGTGATTCTCATGATTGGTATTCTTTTATTTTGTAACTGTATCACAGTCAAAGACAATTGTTATGAAATGTTTTGGTTTATTTATTTGAATAAGCATAAATTAAGGGAGTGCAAACAAAAAGGAGATGACAGATTCAGTCCTCTATTGACTTTGATTTTATGGAAATGATTGGCCAGCATATTCTTCAACATTTCACCATATAGGCCTATTCTACAGAAGAAAGTCACACAGGTTTGAAACGACATGAGGGCAAGTAAATAATGATGGTTTTTGAGAGTTGTAGAGCTGGCTTACTTGTGTTCCCATGATCCCTGGAGACCTGGTCCCTTGCTATACCATGACAGTTGTTCCCAGTTGAGAGCACTGACCCAAAAGCAGCCTCAACTCTCTCAACCTCGACAGTTCTCTGAGGTTAGACTTTACCAGTAATTATCTAGCTCTTGTGAACTTAAAGAAGTTTATTCATTTGCCTAATAGTGCTTGTCTTACGCCCCTAAATAATGACTTCATGTTTTTAATCTTCATTCTTCTGGAAAACCATACGCATTTTTCATGCTTGTCTTGTCATCTTATTTAAAAGATTTGTTTGCCAATGTAATTCAATATGTGTATATAATGCACTTGAAATGTCCATAAATCTCCTTAAGCATATCCACACATAACCTTAAAGAGGTCACTTTTCTTTTCTTTGATTCTCCTGCCAATGATTCATCCTTGTCGCCACGCCTTCGACTTCCCACGTAACGGTTTCATCCTGACTGCGTAATATAGCATCACAAGCCAAGACTCCCCAAAGTCACAACCTCCATCCAGATACCTGGGACTGCAGTCTGCTGTCTGATTCTAGAAGGGAAGCTGCAAATGTGGGCAAGCAAGAGAGAATGCTAGCATTTTCAGCCATTGAGACCAGAACTTGTGGGAAGTGTGCATTTGTTAGAGAGTTTCAGTGGATTCTGGAGTCGATATTTTGTGCAGGTTTGGAATTTTGAGAGGAAATTGCAGATCATGGCTGTTCGCCACAAACAGAGGTGATGCTTTCCACTTGCTTTCGCGGTTTTTATTTCTTGAAGAATAATTTTTACTGCAGTATAGCCTATGTACATTTTCAAATGACAAACGTTGTAACAGGGTTGAACTAAACAGTGAGCTCTTGGTTAGAAGGTGAAGATGAACATTTTGGTTACCTGTCAGCCAATAGTGTTGGAGGCAACTTTTACGGAAAAATGCATGCAAGGAATTCACAATTTACAATGAGCTGTCTTTTTTCAGGGGAATCATTTTAAATGTCTTAATGTCTTTACCGTGGTCATTAGAGCTGCTAACCACTTGCTATAAGAGAACTGTTATGCTAATGTGCTGTTCCTTTGAGAAATGTTTCTGGAATGAAGCCCCATCTTTTTTAAGCAGACAGCAGCGCCTCATTGGCAATTCATTAACAGTTTAATTTCATTCCAGTGAAGGGAGAATACAAACAAAGTGGAGTTAGGTTACAATTCAGATGGAGTATTTTAATTCTGGTTTTACAGACTGATACGCACTATATGACACATTTCGGATATAATATGATGTTGTACATGTGCTAAATACTTTCCATCACCCAGATATAGCTCATATACGTCGCCAAGATGTCTTTTCAATGTGTTCATTTTCATCTGGAAAATAACACTTTTAGTTGATTAGTTGTCTGCATTTTTAGTAATATGCAATACTACAATACAACAATGTTTACCTGTTGGGTTTTTGGAAGATTTCTTGCAAAATGTCCATGGATCCCTGAAGGTACTTGAAGGTACTGCTAGGGGTCTAAGAAGAAGATATACAGTATAAAATGTGTTTTTTAAATCTTCATGACATTTGACTATAAGACAAACAAATGATCTGATATTCAGTAAATGCCACATTAAATGTTATTTAATGTTTTATATTGCGGTACCTGGGTTGGCTGAGGATCTATTGTAGTATATTTATGTACCATTTATTCATATTTTGTAATATATTTTTATATTTTCAGTTTCATTTTGATTTGAAGTTTTAGTTATTTTGTGCATTTGTCTTTCTATAGCTTTAATTTACTTTTATTAATTTTAGTGCTTCATCTTAAACTTATTTATTGCACTTAGCTGCCAAGGCAACATTTCTAATTTTGGCTTAAGTTTTTCATCTAATAATTTTTTTTTCAATTGCAATTTCAATTTCATTTTTTTTCTTTTTTTTTCTTTTCATTATTTTATTTGTAGTTTTTTTTAACAATACAAACAAACTAACAAACGCTCCTCTTTTCCCTCTCTCTCTTTCTCCCCATCACATTTTCTGTCTGTCAGGACACTGCACCAGCAGTTTGAGAGTTATAAGGAGCAGGTGAAGAAGATTGGAGCAGAAACGAAACGACAGCAGGCTGTCCATAAAGATGATGCACCTACCTGTGGCATCTGTCGTAAGACCAAGTTTGCAGATGGCTGTGGGCATCTGTGTTCCTACTGCCAGACCAAGTTCTGTGCCCGCTGCGGGGGAAGAGTGTCGTTGCGTTCAAATAATGTAAGGACCCTTTCATTGCTTGTTTTTCCCTCATCATCCATCTTGTCTTTCTCACTGTGGAGTCATTTCCATTGACACATCATTTACCATTTGAATATTTAATTTGTTTAATTATGCTTGCTTTAGTCTTTTACTGTTTGTAACTACATATCAGTTGTTTGGTTGATTCACTTCTGAGGAATTTACTGAATCTGTATAAATCATAGAATTTAGCAAAATTGGCAAATCCAAATTCAGAATACAAACAGTTAATCTCAGTTTCTCCTATCCAAACAAGTCTACAGATTTAAACTGCGAAATCCAAACCACCCACAGTTCCTCTGAGCTTTATAAAGACTCCGTTCTTTGAGTGAAATCTTCATTGACTTTGCAAAGCACCATCAGGGTAAGGTGGGACTGTTTCCAGCAGCACAACATGCGAGGGTCTATTTTAAGAGCTCATCCTTGCCTGCTGTCTCTAAAGACACCCTCCCTCCTCTAGAGTGACTTACCTGAGATTGGACTCATCTCACTGGGCATGCTGAGGAACAATCTGCCTTAGTTCCGTCCTCCCCAGCTGGGTGAGGTCCCCTACTGTCCCTACCCAAAGTTTTCAATAAGGAATAGTAACAGTGGGACTCTGAAAGCAGTGTTCTGTGGATACTGATAATATGACAAAGTATTTTAAAGCGGCTCAACCTTATAATGCTGTTTATATTCGGGATGCACAGTATACTGGCACCATTTTAATAATTGCCCAGTATTGGCAATTTTAAGCTGATATTGGATGTTTAGAATTAGATTATTGTCTAGCAATAACTTGTAGTGTTAGTCCAAAAATGAACATTCTTTCATCAATACTATATGACTTTTGTTCATCTTCTAAACACAGATGAAGTATTTTTTAATGAAACATGAGAGACTCCTCTGAATCAAGTTTGTTCTTACACTTCAAGCAAGTAGTGGTACATTTTTTTTAATGATCCTACAAAAAAAGAGTAAAATAATTTATTTAAAAAATATATATTTTAAATATGTGGAAATAACAACACACTACTTGGTTAAGATATTTTTCTGACAAAAATATTTGGCAAAAAAGGCAAACTGCAGATACAGGTTTTATTTGACAAAATTGTAATTATGCAAAAAAAAAAAAAAAAGGCATAGAAAATCAAAAGCTCACAGGAAAAAGCATACAATGATTAGCAAGCACCTTTATTTATATAGCACATTTTCAAACAACAGACATTGCCCCAAAGTGCTTTACAAAAATGATGACATTAAAATCATCATTTAATATTACATAGAACAAATACGACTTATTCAAGAGCTAAAGAAAATAAATACGTTTTTAAAATAAGACCTAAAAGTGGCAATTGATGGAGTTGACCTCACGTGGAATGGATTACAACATAATCAGTTGTTAATGTTTCGGTAGTTTGCTCTTGTTTTTGCATGTGTTTTTTCATAATAGGGCTGGGAAGTATTATGATATACTGTATGTCATGGTGACTTTATAAATTGTCTATGGTTAGAGAATTTGCTGTATTGTGTTTATTGCGGTATGTAAATATATACGCGTAGCACAGCACTATTGACACTTTAGACTCATAAAACACATGAATGAGATGATAAAGAGCGGGACGTGCTTGATGTTAAAAAGAGTTATTAAGCACAATAAGGCATGAATTGTGCAGTGCTTGTACTGACTGGCACACTGCCAAAGCGCGCACACAGTAAGCTACTTCTCTCAGAAAGCAATTGTGAATTTGAGACGTGCTTGATGTTAAAAGAGTTATTAAGTACAATAAGCTGTGAAAAAGAACTCAGTGCGGTTCTTGCGCTGACACAGCTGAAGCGCGTGCACAGAAACCGCGTCTCTCAGCATGCGATAGTGAATTCAGATCTCTGTCACGTCTAATGGTCGCTTGAATGGTCGAATGCACACACAATTATGTCAAATGCCCATCTGTGTAATATTCATGTAAACACTGTCGGTTATGTCTCAAGTGAAAGTAAACAGTTGGGTGTAAACCGGATGTGTATCAGTATAATGGATCCCTGCATTCACTATTATAGTGACAGCACCCTAAGATATTTGCTGCTCTCTGTCATTAAAGTTAATCAAATAAAATAGAGAAAATAACTTGCTGCTCTTGACTGAATATTTACAGTACATTAATAATAATAAATGTAAATGTAATTCATGTAATTTGCTTCTTTGTTATTATTTTTAATAAAAAAATAAATAAAAAAATAACTATCGTTATAAGGAGCAGGTAAAGAAGATTGGAGCAGAAACGAAACGACAGCAGGCTGTCCATAAAGATGATGCACCTACCTGTGGCATCTGTTGTAAGACCAAGTTTGCAGATGGCTGTGGGCATCTGTGTTCCTACTGCCAGACCAAGGTCTGTGCCCGCTGCGGGGGAAGAGTGTCGTTGCGTTCAAATAAATACTTCCCAGCCCTGCGTTCAAATGTAACTATCGTGATATATATTGTTATCGTGAAGAAAACAAATCTCATATCGTGAAATAAGATTTTGGTATTATCACCCACCCCTAGTTCATTTTTTCTTTTTTATGACTGCCTGTCTAAAAAATATTTCCGCACAATTTGTCATGTCTCATTGCATTATCACAAATAAAACAACTGATTCCAATGTTTTCTTTAAATGCATAGTAAACTCTGTTTCAGACCAGTCACATGGCATCCCTTGTATAATAATCTACATTTTTTTTGTAACAATAAAGATTTATAATATTAACTGTTTATTGGTTACCACCAGTGATTAAAGCACAATATGTAAGATTTTTACATTAAAATATCCAAGAACCACTAGCACAGTGTTATACATTTTTTCACTTGTGTACTTACATTATCCCAAATGTTTCCAGCAATGTTTAAATCTAGAGAATTTTAATTTTAATGTCCCTCCTCATTACGTCTCCGGTCAATTCCGTCATGTCCGCATTATCCTTGGTTCCCTATCAGTCGCTCATTATGACGTAAGTCATGACCGACGAACAGAAATCTCGCTAGAGAGACCAATCTACTTTGAGTGAAACTAAACAAGCCAATGCACATTGGCGTGCAATCATTTGCATCAGCTGCTCAGCCTCACAGCACGGGTATATAATGAGCAGCAGGTGCGATTGCACTTCAGAGTGTGATCTCAACAAGCCTTTCTGGACCTCTCTATCCTGGTCCGGGTGTTACAGCACAGCAGTGCGAGCAGTCTTTCTCTCTCTCTTCTCTGTCTTTTTTTGTTTTTCCGGTTTTGAGCAAACAAAAAAGCTGTTATAACAGCTGGTAAGGTGCGCCATTCAGAGCGCTCAAAAGCTGTTTTTACAGCTGGTAAGACCTTCCAGCGAGAGAGAGAGACAGCGCACAGACAGGTGCACATTCCTGTCTGTGTTTGCAGTGACTGTTCCCCTGCGTGCTTCAGCACCACTGAGAGCAGTCCCTAAAAGAGCTTACACAGATAGAACGCGTCTTTTTAAAGATGACTTTCTATCTGTGTGTTTCTGGATACGGTCATTACGTGGGGTCACGGGATGGTCACGATCGCTGCCTCGTGTGTCTGGGCCTCAAACACGCTGAGGCAGCTTTTGTGGATGAGTCATGTACCCATTGTGGGAAGATGACCATCGCGGAGCTGCGGTCGAGACTCTCGTTCCTGCAAAGGGACGGTGCCTCTGCCTCAATCCAACCCTCCCCCATGCCATGGGGCATGCTTTCCCGGGCCGCCGACAGGATCGGGCTCTTGTGGAACCCTCCACCGTGTCCCGAGCCCTCGAGGCTGGATGATTGGTATCTCAGGGTGGCGCGACCCCTCGTTCCTGCGGGCAGGAGTCCCCTTGGAACAGGTGTCCAGGCATGCTGTGGTATTCACAGATGTGCCACGTACAACGGGCATGCAGTGCCAGGGGTGTGGAGTTGCTAACAGTACATCTCGCTCTGAGCTGCTTTAAAAGGCCGTTACAGGGCAGGGATGTCCTGGTCCGTACGGACAACACTGCGACCGTTGCGTACATCAATCGACAAGGTGCTCTACGCTCCCGTCGCATGTCGAAACTCACCCGCCATCTCCTCCTCTGGAGTCAGAAGCATTTGAGGTCGCTTCGACAAGCCATGTATGTCCCCAGTGTGCTCAACTGTGTGGCCGACGAGCTATCACGAGCTGTGCTCCCGGGAGAATGGCGGCTCCACCCCCAGGCGGTTCAGCTGATCTGGAGAGAGTTCGGGGAGGCTCAGGTAGACCTGTTTGCCTCCTCAGAAACTTTCCACTGCCAGCTGTTTTACTCCTTGACCGAGGGAACACTCGGCACGGATGCACTGGCACACAGCTGGCCCCGGGGCGTCTGCAAATATGCGTTTCCCCCAGTGAGCCTACTTGCACAGACACTGTGCAAAGTCAGGGAGGACGAGGAGCAGGTCCTTCTGGTGGCTCCCTAGTGGCCCACCCGTACTTGGTTCCCAGAACTCATGCTCATTGTGAAAGTCCCTCCCTGGCCCATTCCTTTGAGGAAGGATCTTCTGACTCAGAGATGGCACCCGCTTCCGAACCTCTGGAAACTGCATGTCTGGTCCCTGGACGGGAGGCGGAGGTTCTAGATGACTTACCCCCAGAGGTACTTAACATCATCAATTCTGCACGGGCACCGTCCACAAGACGTGTGTACGCCCTGAAGTGGAACCTGTTCATCGAGTGGTGTTCTTCTCGCCGAGAAAACCCCCGAAGAAGTTCCATAGGGTCTGTGCTTTCCTTCTTGCAGCAAGGGTTGGAGCGAAGGCTGTCTCCCTCCACCCTTAAAGTACATGCTGCATATATTTCCGCATATCATGACCACATAGATGGCAAAACAGTAGGAAAGCACGACCTGTTGTTAGGTTTCTTAGGGGTCGAGACGATTAAATCTTCCTCGATCCCCCTCCATACCCCCTTGGGACCTTTCCCTGGTGCTTTGAGCACTTCAGGATGCTCCCTTTGAGCCTTTGCAATCAACAGACTTAACCC